GCCCCTTAATATAACCTTGGGGTTTTTGCCACTCAGCCACAAATCTGTTAGCTCCTCTCTATGTTGGTCAAGCATGTTTGTCTTGTCTTGTCTTGTATGTTTGAGTTTCAACTTAATATTCTTTTTTAACACCTTAAGGTATTAATCATTAAATGATGCTAGAAAAATTGACTAAAACAAATAGGATACTTTGTGATGCAGTGTCTTGAACTATTTTATAGCAGACAAGAATGGAAATGATTATGGTCAAGACATTCCTCCCCGCAGTACAGCAGAAGGAAAACATAGTGGGCCTCCATTTTTGCCGCCCCAGTTGTTACAAGTTATTCTCAACAAAGATACCCCAGCTCATGTAAGTGGTCACCATTTATTCATCTATTTCATGTATGTTGATATCCAGATTGGGTGGGTCATGTGACCTTTAAACTCGGGTTGGAAAAGTGAGGTTTTTTAAAACATTACCAATTAGAAAGTTTCTTTTTAGGGCAATCTCTTTGTAAAATGTTTTACATGAATCGGATGTTCCTTCAGAGTTGAAGATAATTACTTCCTAGTCCAAACCTCCCGCAGGACGACGGGGGATGGGAGCGGGCAAGGTTTGAACCCGGGACCATCGATAAATTTGAACGACAGTCCAGCGCACAAACCGCATGACCAGGCAGCCATCTTTTGTCAAGTGGTTTGTTTCACCTTGTGCTGTGATGCTGCTGCTAGATAAAATTGTCAAATGGAGGGTCGTGACCTTGTCAGGATTGTCCCTCAATTTGCTTTATTTTTACCATGTTATCTCATAAAAGATAAGATGGTGCCTCTAGTATTGTACTATGCATCATGCATAGAAATAGTAGGGTGGAACAATTGTCACTATTTGGAGCTGCCTTTAGATATGTACTATACATCATGCATAGAGTTGGCTGGAAAAAAGGACACTTTTCTAAGAAACGCTTAGCCAATGCATTTTGAATTGGTTAGAGGAACAGATTTCAGTTGGTACATGTATAGTTTCTTGGCCAAAAAGATTCAATGTTAGTTTTTGTCAATAAAGCTCTAAATTTATGATTGAAGCATGCATAGTGTGTAGAAGTGGATGAAAGCTTGTCCTGCTAGGATCATTTCATTATGCATTTGTAAATTCATTGGGGTGGGAAGCATGGTTGCTACGTGCGAAAGTGTTTGGCTTCCAAAATAAGGAGTCTCGTGTTTAAATTCCGGTGCAGACTGATATTTTGAATTTCTGGATTTTTTTATGGTGATTGAGTCCACCCAACTCTTATTACCTTACATTTGTTAGAGAAAATTTGGTTATTTTGCTGACCACATGACACTATCGTTAACTGTGGGCCTCAGAAACATATCACCATCCCCATGGATTGCAAGGTCAGAAAATGACTTTTTTAAAAAAACTTTGACATGTATATTAATTAATTTCTTGAATTTAGGTTGAGCCCTCCTTGCTTCCTGAACCTAACCATGTTATGCTAAATCACCTTTATGCATTATCCATCAAGGTAAGTGCTTAGACCCTAACTTTCAGAGTTGTGTTTCAGGAATGTTGAAGCATAAAAGTTCATGTTTTAGGGATTGGCTTTTTTTTTGGGCTCACTTTATTCTGTGCAGAGTTTTCGAAAGCACAATTAAATCAATTTATTTCATTCTGTTTTGAAACCCAAAGCAAGATGATAAAAAGAAAAATAAACAGACCCTATGCAGACAAGAGCTTTGTCAGCATGAGCTGTGGCATAAAATACATGTTGCTATTGGATCTTCTCGGTTACATGAATTACTGCACTCATCCTTATCCTTGGAATTGAAGCCTTTTCCTAATAAATCTTCTACGTGCAGTGTAGTGTTTTGCACGGCACCATTTTTTTTTCTTGATTCAAGACTCCCAACAAAATAAAGTGCTTCAGAATATTGAATTTTGTTACGCGGGACATTATTAACCAATAACAAAGCAGTGTTGAATTTGTGTTCGTTTTAGTGAAACAAAAATAAGCTTTTTTGTTTAATATAACTCTTATTAGTTTATTTATTTGAATATTTTTTTTCTTTAGCAATAATCTAATTCATATAAAAAAAAATGTATCAGCAGTCAAATGTAATTTAAAAATGAATTTTACACCAAAATAAATGTGTGAAATCAATGATCTCTAAAACGTGCATTGAGAAATGTCTTAGTTCTAGATCAGTGGTTCACTATAAAGTGTGCTTTAACCACTTAAGTTTTAATATTTAAAAATAAAAAAAAAATTCCTATTTAAAAAAAGAAAGAAAACTATCAGGAACCACTGGCCTTTGTAAATTTTAAAAATATAAAACTAAGACAGTGATCGCAGGTTAAGTCTAGACATGTATTTGCTTTAAAAATGTCTTAAAGTTAAAAATGGGTTTTTCTATTCCCGATCAGGATGGAGTGATGGTCTTAAGTGCCACCCACAGGTTTCGTAAAAAGTATGTGACTACCTTACTGTACAAGCCCATCCAATAGAATAACCAATTGTCTGTATATTTGAGTGCTTGGTGGCATGCCTGCGTTTTCACTTGGACTGTTGTTTGGAAGAATTGTTTACGGAAGATTATTGTATGTTTAACAGTTTATACACTTAAAAAAGAAAACGTTTTCTTCTTAATGTTGATGGCTAGTATTTATTGTAATATAAAATCAACATTGACAATGTATTTGTGTAATGAGTTCACTCAGACGTAGTAGAGTTTGTATCAGCATCTATAGACGGAGGAGACAATTCCAACTGGACCAGATACCCTTGTTGAACCATTTGTATATTACCATGTTATTATTGAGATACTTTATAGTATGTATATCCAGTTGACTATTACCTAGATGATAGACTAGTGTGAAGTGTACTGCCGATTTCTATGAGGGATTAGAGTAGTGGATGCCACATTGGTGATATTTTGATTTTCATCGTTAACACTCTACTTAAATCAACATTCTAGAGTAAACACCCCCCCTCATTTGTGGTAAATATTGATATTCTTAGTTTACTTGATATCATAGCACTCATTATTTCATCAGAAACACAGTCGCATAATGAGAGTACTGCTCCACTTGGTCATTAGATGCTTTCAGTTCCTCAACTGCCATTGTTTTCACATTGCGAGTCATAGAATTTTTATTTCTCCCCCCCTTAACGTGGCTCAAGTTTCAAGCTCTTCCATTTAGGTTTAAAATACAAGTTGGGTGTTAAGGTGTGTTACTTCACACGATTAAGTCCCTTCTATGTGCTCACCAACCAGATATAATGGGTGAATTATTCAGGACACGAGAATATACACTTCCCTTCAGTGCATACCCAGTGCACCTAAATGATGGTGAAACGGCACTTAAACTCGCCTGAAGGGGATGAACTCTGCCACTCCTTTTTCTTACTTTATGTGTGCCTGTGTGTGCGAGAGAGAGATTTGTGTACATAGATAACATTGCCAAATATTACGCAGGAGAAATTATTGCTGTGATGGTCTTAGAAGACATATTGGACACTACTGGATAGGATCATTTGTTGTGTACATAGATTTTGTTAACACCTGTACAAGGGCATTTATGTTCGTTAGTGACACTGTGTCATCACTGTAGCCTACGCAGATGTGTAGAGCGTAAGGTTAGACGACTCTGTTTCATTCTTGAAGAGCTGTCTCTTCATAAAGTAACTGGAAAATACTTCATGGTGTAACAAAAGAGCAAAGACATTAAAACATTGTTTGTAAGCTTCTGTTTTTTTTTTCTTTTCTATTTGCTTCTCGTCTTTCTTGAACATTTACAAGTGGTGCACTCTGTTACTGTGCACTGCGTCATGCTCAGACTTAGTTCCTGTGACAGTCATCTCCCTTGGGAGCGAAAGCGGCCATTTATATCCTGTTTTATTTCCCTTTTTTTTTCTTTCCACGTTCTGTGATTGTGTTAGTTGATTCTATGCATTATAACAATCATCTTTGATATACATATTATTGTTTAATGAATTTCTTGTTCCATATGAAGCGTTAGCTGGACATGTACTATGTTTCTAATAATATTCATGTCTAATGGTATTTGTTCATGAATTGATGACTGTGGCATAACCATTGTACGCGATTTTTTTGTTTTGTTCCCTTGTCCTACCAGAGAACTGCAAAGTTCATCTTGAAATAAATCAAAGAAATGAACTCCTGTGTCCTTGTGTTAGTAGTGAACTTAAAACAAAATTTGATGGTAGACAGCTTCCAGAGCCCAAGTGTCATAAGATAATTAGATCTAAGTTTAAGTACCTGTCATAAGATCTACGGCCAAAGACACATAAGATATAAGACTAAGTACATGGCATGAGATCTAAGACTAAATTTTCAACAAATCTTCACCTGCTAAAAAGTTTTTGTGTAGTCTGTATTTAAACATTTTTTTTGTTGCCATCTTTTTAGCATATAACCCTTAAAGTGCTGAGCTGTTTTACAATGAGTGCATACAAAATGGAATTACAATTCAGATGTTTAGAGGCTAAACTACAACATGAATTTTAAGGGTTAAAGTGCATGACCCTGTGATCTAAAAAAAGGATTTATTGCTCTATCATGTGAAGAAAAATGCAAATAATTATTTTCCCATTCAAATAGTCACTTATTCCAAAAGTAGTTATATGAATTCCTTATTCTTGTCTACTAAGCCTATATAGCAAGGCCTATTATTTAGTCTGACATTCTTATTCTTGGTGCAGACAAGTTACACTCTGATTCCCACATTTTCTCATCTGAAGTTGATTTTAAATGGCAGCTTTTTATTTGTTTAAAAGTTTGGATCTCCCCCACCCCCAATTTTTTTTGTAAGGATGTAGATATAGACACAAGATATTTTACAAGATCTTAACGCATTTCTGCCTAGATTGTTTATGTACATGAGTGTAGTGTAGACATATCATCAATATGTCCCTTGAATGTTTTCAGTTTGTCTGCTTAAAGTTCAAGATCATTTCACCTGGCAGCTATCTTTATAGTTGAGGCGCCCCCCCCCCCCCCCCCCCCCCTTCAAATGGGTAGAAAGACTTTATGGTGTCCTAAGAAAGGAAATGTAGTTGGGTTTGGAAAGGTCAAGGGTCAGACAGAAACAACCTTTGTATACAAAACTAAAACAGCAGTTTTTAAATAAATGTGTTAGCATCTCTTCAAGACAGGCTTAAGCATTCTGGTAAGCATACAGTCCAAATATCTAATTAAACATGTGACTGTCACAAGATTGACTAATACTGGTTCTGTTTTCAACACTGCTTGTAAGAAGTCTTTTTAAAACGGGTCCAATATGAAACACTAGCTTGTAAGAAGTCCATAAATGGGTCCCATCTGTCAAAATTAAAAAACTTTTTTCTTATTGTTAAAGGCAGTTTCCTTTGATTCATCATAAGGATGTATTCTGACACACGTCTTAATAGTCTGTAATAATTAAGACTTAGCCAATTTTGTTTCAAGGAGTCTGTCACAGTCCTAGCTAAGCTTTAAAAATTACAATTATGTGTTGTAATTAAAAATGTATTATTGTCTCTTTAACTAGATGAACAGTGAAGGAATACTTTGAAAAGTTGATTTCAGAAATGTTTCAAATTTTTAAAACTCATCTGGAAGTTCATAAAACTTAAAATCCTGTCTACCATCACACAAGAAACAGTTTTATTTCTATCAAGTGCGTAGGTTATCATCACTCCACATTTCTTCCTCCTAACTCACTAATGAGTAGCTATTGTTAACTTTTTACATTCATTAACTTGGTCACATTCTGTATAATACTTCAATTTAAATAAACTGATGTAAAATGGTCATTATTAGAGGTAATGGACAAATTGATAATTCTTATAAAATAACTTCATTTGTTCGGGGGGCTATTATAACAGGCACGTTAAATGAACTAGAGAATGACAAGAGTATTATTAAATCTATTAGGGACTAAGTTTTGTTAGGACATCACCTTACTAATCCCTACTAAATCTTGTACTGTGTGTTGATTTTCTTTAAAAACTCCAGTCCCATAATGCATTGCTTCAAATTAAGATTTCTTTTTGGTTTATGGCTTCTTAGAGGCATTTTTGTTCTTTGTATAAACAAATAGTATTTTCTATGTTCATTTTGTCAGAAAGAAATTAATCAAGAATTAAGTATTTTTAAAGAAGAATTTGTTGAGTTTATTTTTTTTGTTTCCTGCTAGTCATGTGACTTAGTGAATCTACATGTATATAGTATGTGTGTGCTCACAAAATGAAACTAACAATAGATCTGAGTGGAAAAAAACAACAAAACATTTATTTATCAATATCAAACCATGCAAGTCCAACTAAAGCCAGTCATGGCTTGGAGGACTTGGTAATATCAAGCAACTCCACTGACACAGAGAAACAAGGCACTGATTACCAAAACAGTAGTCAACAAAACATACAGTTGTTCAACTTTTTTAAGAATGTGACTTGAAGCTCAGGTCAGTCAGATCAAAACTTTCTCTTGGATACACAATAAATTATCAGTCGCACTACAAGATGCTCAATGACGTAAACATTTCACAAACAAAAAAAAAAAAAAACAAGGATAATTTAAATGGATATAGATCAGACACTACAATAAAAGGATTTTGACATGCTTAAAATGAGCTTTTACATTACTTTTTAAGATTTTTTTTTAGTTACAGGGGAACATCAAAACATTTTGAAAAGGAATATTATCTAGTAATTAGATATTAACAATTATGTCTTAATATCAGGATCACAAAGGTCCCCATGATGAGCTTCTGAACACTCAAATTTAGCAAGAATATTTGGCCATTTAATGAGATTCTCATAGCTTACTAAGACCTTCCTGCATAGAAAAGAACCAGAAAAAAGCAGCAGCCAGAGAAAGTGATGGGAAGACAACATCCAATAATGGATGGGCCTGTCATTGAAAGAGACTCTACTCCTGGTACAAAGACACAGGGAGAGGGGGGGGTGAAAGATGGTCAGAAGCAAAAGTGTTGTTAGTGACTTTCAGAAAGTCTGCAAGCCAAAGCTTCAAAGTCTTAACAATATTGAAGTTGTGTAGAGATCTGTGCAACTAAACTACGCTGTAGAAAAGAAAGAGTTAGTGATAGTCACAGACATGTCTCTCATGCAACATTCTGGGTCTTGAAGTTCGAGACGCTAACTCTACAACAGACAAGTTACCTAATGGACATAACACTAGCAAGAGCTCACTAAGACCTTCCTGCAAGGAACAGAAACAGAGAAAAGCAGCAGCCAGAGAAAGTGATGGGAAGACAACATCAAATAATGGATGGGCCTGTCATTGAAAGAGACTAATTCTGATACAAAGACACAGGGAGGGGTGAAAGATGGTCAGAAGCAAAAGTGTTGTTAGTGACTTTCAGAAAGTCTACTAGCCAAAGCTTCAAAGTCTTAACAATATTGAAGTTTGAGACGCTAACTCTACAACAGACAAGTTACCTAATGGACATAACACTATCAAGTTGGAGAAGCCAAATAGTTTAGAATGAAGGAAGCTTGAAAAGATAATGACTTTGTAGAATCCTATACAATGAGAGACCACTACTATTATTCTTAAGCTTCTAAACTTTACTAATCTTATAAATAGAGCAGAACTGCACCTCCTTTTTTTTGTTTGTAATTTTAATTGTAAAAACAGAACTAAAAGTAATCATTAGTAAGTAATATCAAGCATCTTTTGTTCCAGCTTTTTCATTAAAGATTCTTAAAAAAAAAATGTCAAAAGTAATATGTCACTTTTTTAAAAATGTTAAACGCATTCAGGTGGTCTTCCCTCTCATACATTTTATAGACGGTAATCACACTTTTATAGCATTTATATCCCACTTTGCATGACACATTTCATACATAATAATACATTAATATTTGACTGAAATAATGATACTTTAATGGAGTATTCTAATTTGTTAGGGCCTGCACAAAATAAAAGCCTGGTTCTGGTCTAGATGCACTTTAAACTAGCAATAGAGGACACATGTAAAAAAATAAAACAGGATGTTGGCAGTGCTATGCGCTTGATAGAGAAGTTGAAACAAAACTGTGCGAACGCCTGTTACAGTTAGTAATTATACATTGAGCTAATAAAACATAAAGACAGAAGATCCTTGATGTCTGTCTCACAGTAAGTTCAGGATGTCACTGGCTCGGCTGCATGTCAGACCAGTGCCATCTGGTTCCAGGTTGACCTTCTTGACAACACCTTGCTCAACTAAAAGGGCATATCTATAAAAAAAATAAACCCACAGATTAACACAATTTAACTTTCTTTTTGTGTTTGAAAATAATGTACGCACAAGATAAAAATAATTTTGCACATGCCTAATAATAGATGTGTCAGAGGCATGGTGACTGAGTGATTAAGTGCTTGACTTCTGAACAGAGGGCTCTAGGGTTCAAATCTCAGTGAAGACTAAGGATTTCAGGATTTTTAGGATGCTTGTAAAAACAGGTGAGCTTCACATCATCTGACCTATTGCAAGGTCTGAAAAGAATACTTTACTTTTTTTACTTTTATCAATGCGTCAGGGTTGCAATTGATTACTTCAAAAAGAATGCTAAAAAAATAATTTAATGTAAATAATAATTAGCTGTATGCAAACTCATTGCAAACTATCAGGTTATGTTCAAGGATTTAAAAATTTGAAATGCACTTAATCTGAAAGCTGCAAAGATATTCACAATTTGAACATTGACTTTTTAAAATAGAATGTAAAAATGGCATTCACTAAAGCCTATTTCCATAGCAAGGGTACAGATAAAACTTTAAATATAACAGGTTTCAAGAGATCATCTTTATATAATGGAGATATACATCAAGACAAAGTAATTACCTCTTGTTGCGAACATTGCCAAGAACTGCAGTTAAGTCCAAAGTCACGTCTAAAGCCTACAAAAGAAATAGCACAGACAATTACTATGAAAGAACTGTATAGTAGATATTGGACTCATAATGTTAATAGTGCATTTTCAAAACTAATGAAGCAAACTCTATAATAATTGATAAAACTCCAACCTTTGCAAACTCAGCACATGTGTCGGCCAAAAAGCGAATCTGCAAATAGCGATAAACAATTGCTACTTCAAATTCAAATCATGAAATAAGGAACAATGTAAGAGATTTTAATCATTTATTTTCAAACTAATTAGACTGTCATAAATAGATGAATAGAAATAATATGGAGCTCAAAACAAGAATAGGTTTATAAACCGAAAGTAGAAAACCTATTCCTGTGGACCAACTGATGCAAATGTAAAATTCTTTTAATCAACACTATGCCATTTTTTTTTATTGATCATATTTGACATGAATATTATCTTGCTATTTTCTCTGCATGAAGATAAATTGTATCTAAGTCAAGTCTAACAAGTGAAATTATTATTATTATTATTTTTTTTGTAAAACAAAAGTTTTCTCCTAATTGACGATACCATCGTTGATTTGAACTCATTAAATGAAATTAATATTTGATTTCATAAACTTTTCTTTGTCTTATTTAGAAAGTGCATGCAGTCCCCTTTGATTCTTTACCAAATATGAAATCTTGTTGAAACATGGAAAATAATTACAGGTAGAAAGAGTTAGAGACAACCATGCCAAGAGACAACTCTTCCTGGATTCTGAGCATTATCTCCCTTTATAAAGTAATTCAAGAGCTTTATTAGCTTTACTTCTTTCGGTGTTGGTAATTGAACACATTTCACCAGCCTTTAGCTTGACAAGCAAAAAATAAAAAAAAAAATTAAGGTTTTATCAAGTACTTAATTAAACAACATTAGATAGAGAAACCTCATTAAAAAGTAGTCTCCCTTGTGCATTATCTGATACTTGGTTCTCTTGAACATTAACTGACTAGTCTCCCTTGTGGGTGTTCAAAAGACAAGACAGAGCATTAAATCAATACAGAAGACAACCAATCAATTTTTCTGAGGTATTACGGCAGATAAGCTCCAATGAGTGGTTCACTAATTAAGTACTGGCTAGGAATATTAAAAAATCAATATAAAAAGAGATCCAATGAAAGCTACAAAGAAATGGTATGAAGCATCTATAACTGGTCATACTGCTGAGGTATATATGCTTCTTGACAATGTTAAATTTAACAGTGCTGTAGAGGCTAGTCTGTTTTCAAATAAACACATTACGCTTGAATCATTTAGACATTTAGTTCAGTTAGATGAGTTACAACAAATGTCATCGACTTCCAATTCTTGAGAGTAATAGTTAAAAAATAATAAAATAAATAAATAAATAAAAAGCAACAAACTCTTTAAAGCGATACTTCTCTTATTCAGGGTAATGTAACTTATTAGGTGTTATAAACAAAAGCTAATAATATCCCAAGTGAAATATATATATTTGTTAAATGAAACACACTACTACTAGGGTTTATTAGAAATATTTTTTTTTTCCAAACCAAATGTTTAAGCACCCCAGGATTTCATATTAAAAAGTAAAAAAAAAATTAAAGCTCTCCTTTCAGACCTTGTGATCTATGGGGCAGATGATGTAAAGGTTATCTTTTTCTATGGCCTTTGGTTAATGAGGGTGCCATGGCCAACTGCCTTTACATTTCCCCAACTAATGTTAGGTACCCAGTAGAGGTGGGTAGACTAAAAAATTCCAGTGTTCACCATTATTCAAACCCAGGACCTTCTGGTTTGGAAGCCAAGTGCTTTACCACTCAGCCACCACACCTCCATTATATATTACTTAACTTTATTAATATTTTTAAAAAAAGGGACCTCTGATCAGGATTCCTTAATTAAAATTAATTAATTAAAAAAAAACACAACTCTAAAATAACCCTTTAAAAAAAAAGATGTTAGGTGTACTATAACAACATAATCACATTTAACAAAAGCAATACTGTTGAATAAACAAAATCATGCACAACCCTTTCAAAGAAATGTCTGTAAATTTTAATAAAGAATAAAACAGCTTGTCTCTTAACTCTTTTTCTCCGTAATTATTTACCACATTCTAGTGGAATCAACGTTGGTATCGTCAGTTAGGAGAGAAAAGAGTTAATAAGTATTTTATGAAATTGAACTTATTTAAAAACATACCTTGCCATTAGGATCCAGTGATCGACCCCATGCAGCCATGACAAAGGGATCATTCACTGACACACACACAACCTCTTTCACCCCTTTAGCTTTCAAGGAATCCAAAGCAGACACGAAACCAGGCGCATGGTCCTGAAGAGAAGAATGGCAATAAAAAAAACAACGAGATAATACAAAGCAACAAAAACAACTTGAAGCTAATCTGCTTGTACAATGTCATCTAATTTAATACTCAAAACTCGAAGGTCAAGATAAGCCAGTATAACAACACAACATAAATAGATGCATTGTGGGTAGTAAGAATGTGGTATCAAAGGTTGCTCGTACTACGGCCTTGATAAAAAAACAAACAAAACAAATGACAGTTAACATGGAGAATTATTATACAACTCCTACAGGTCAAGGATATGGTGGGTTATGAAAAGGTCCAAAAAAGTTCAACCCATTTGAATCAAAACCTTTCTTCAATCCCCAGATTTGTACAATAGAATGCATGTTGTCAGCTTAACAATGATAGAGATACCAATATGTGTAAAGCAAGAAGTGGGATAAAAAAATTGTACGTTAGCATGGCTTTCACAAGTTTCATTCAAGGCATCCATGGTCCTAAGACACATTAAACATTTTTTTTAAAGTTGTGTATGTTTATTTATATAATGAGCTCAAACTGTTTTAACCAGAATTTGCAGAAAATTTTTTTGCTTCTACACAATATCATGTATAAAAGATATCTGTTTTGGTCTGTGTTTCCCAAACTTTTTTCTCAACGGAACACTTCACACACTGAGTATTTAGCATAACACTTTGCTTATTTTTTTTAGAGAGGTTAAATCATGTGGAGGTCTACTAGTTTATTATTCCAAAAGTTTGTGGAACACTATTTAGGGCCTTGTAGTGTTCCTCGGGACACAGTTTGGGAAACACTGGTCAAAGTCAACGATCTATAACTGAAATTTATTAAGATATTTTATTTAAATGATTCTGTAGCGGCAGCCCTGCAGTTGAATGTTTCTGCAAACAATGGCTTGACAGCACAGCCTTGTTTTATTGAATAAATTATGGCCAGATTGCAAAAAGAGTAGTCTAGTTTTTTTCCCCAGCTATCTGATTAGCGAAATATGCTTTATGGAGTACAATGTACTTTGGTACTACTTTTATCCCAGACTTGTATGTTTAGTCTGTGTTATGAAAATTATATTCTGTATCGGTTGTCGTTCTTATGTTTACATGTGCTTGTAACTCGTCCGTGAGAATGTGTTCACGAAATGTGTGTTGTGTAGTCAGTGTATTAAAGCCATACTATACAGACATTGTTCTCGACTTTCTTATCTTTATGTTCATAACAATTTAATACACTGAATCCAAAACTGTGAAGTTGTTAGAATTTCGAAATGAAATCTTCGCCCAGAGAAGTTTGACATCAAGCCCACAGCACCTCAAGCAGCAGAGCATTGGCAGCACTGGTATGAAACGTTTAAAAATTTTATATCGGTAGTATAGTAGACAATCTTGATACTAAGAAACTACTGATAAACTATCTCTGTCCTGCTGTATATCAAATGATACTTGATAAAGAGACATTTGATGAAGCTATCCAGACTCTAAATGGCATCTACATTCAACCATAGAATGAGGTGTTAGCTAGGCACAGGTTAGCTACTTGCAAACAAGAGCAAGGTCAAACGATAGACGCCTTCATGCAGAAATTAAGAATTCTATCCAAAGATTGCAACTTCAAAGCGGTGACTGCTGAACAACACCGAGAAGAGGCTATTAGAGATTCGTTT